GAGTTAGTTGTGGAGATAAGAGAGGTATTAGGGAATGTAGGAAGGATTTGATTTTGAACAATTTTGTCTCGTGTGCTGTTGCGGGTATGAGGGCGGTTATCACTTCCCGGCTGCCCACACCGTGGAAGGTTGTTTCTTGACGAACCTGAAAAGGAAGATGGATTAGTGTTGGTGCGTGACCGCAGAGTCCAAGGGACAACTGCTTGAGGCCGGTCACGCACGGCCTTTTTATGAGAGGTATTTAGAGGATTAGCTCCGTTCTTAAAGGCCCTTAGTGGGCACCCTTACCCAAGGAGACGGAAATCCGTGAGGTAGGGGAGGTGTGACATTTTTAGGGTCGACCTTTTCTAACCCTTCCTTCCTTGTGAGAAGGCAGCATCGCTGCAAATGCTGGTTGTCCGAGGGAACGCCTTACTGCTGTCACACCCCTCTGCAGTCAGCAGTACGACTTCGCCCTCAGACCTTGGGTAGCTGCTTTTAGTCTCATCGTTCTCCAATCGACCTGCCTGGCATGGTAGGACCTGCAGGAACATGTGTTGCAGCCAGTATAGCTCGGTCGGGTCATCACGATAGGCAAGCCCGACCACCACGTCAAGGTAGCAGCTTCGGTCGGGATCTGTAACTCAAAACAACTACCAATCAACACCAAGGTCAGAATTTTCAACACAAATGTCAAGACAGTCCTACTGTATGGTGCGGAAACTTGGAGAACTACGAAAGTCATAATCCAGAAGTTATAGGTGCTTATAATAGTTATCTACGCAAGATACTCGGGATCCGTTTGCCAGACATCAACAGCAACAACCTAATATGGGAGAGAACAAACTAGCTTCTAAAAGAAGAAGAAATTAGGAAAAGGCACTGTAGGTGGATATGACACACATTGCAGTAATCGTACAATTGCATCAAAAGGTAGGCCCTCACCTGGAATCCTCAAAGCCAACGGAAAGGAAAAGAGGAAGACCAAGGAACACAGTACGCTGAGAAATGAAGACAGACATGGGAAGAATGAATAACAGTTGGATAGAACTAGAAAGAAAGGCGCAAGACAGAGTAGTTTGGAGAACGCTGGCCAGTTGGCTACAGTCTCTTGAACCCATTTTCAAGAATTTGTTTTGGGAAAATCCCTCCGTTTATTTATTTGTAATATGTACTTACTAACTCTTTCTGTGCTACATTTCGGTACTCTGTTATCCCATTCTGGGGTGGTAATATTTGTATTGTTTTATGGTTTCTATTTTTGTACCTTTATTGGAGTTTCTATGTTCTCTACTGAACTGTATCATGTTGTTTAAATTGACACTCAATCATGGCTCAAGCCATATTGAATTCGATAACCTGGTAAAACGTTAATCTGGACTACGGTCGTGCAGTTGCTGACCTGTAAGGAAGCATTCTTCGAGCATTGAAAACACATTGTGTTAATTTTGAACAGTGTACTGTTGTTTAGAACCGTTTTTTACCCAGATAAATTGCTTTCTTTTTGGGATATCCGGGCAAGGTGCGTATCTAAACTTCTGAACTGTTTTTCTGAATTTAGAATCCATGATGGTAATAGGTTTGAGTAAGTAGGTAAGTGAATTTTACTAATCTTGCTTTCAGCTTGTTCATCCTGTTGGACAACTCTCTGAAAACATTATTTAAGACTGGTATTCTGAGCATACGCATAAACTTTCTTGTTTGAAAAATTCATTGGTGTTGTTTGTACAGTGGATTCGTACTGTGGTCACAGGAACTTAATTTCAGAATAGCTGATATCTCTTAATCGAATAAATAAATTTTTAACCCACTATAATTGAGTCTTCCATAAAAAATTTTGACTTTAGGATAGCATGTACTTATACGGCCTTCTTTCCTTCGGATATGCACGCGTAGTCTGTTTAGTCCTTTTCGCTTCCGTGAGAATTCTGTTTGCTTCACGAAACAAATCTCATAATAGTGTTTAATCGAGGCCCGTTTTCAATCGAATGGTCTAAGTCAATAACAACGCGGTCTTCAGTCGCAGTTACATTCATTCGTGTTTGAAACCATCTTAAATGATATTCGCCTGTCATTCTACTCATTAAGGTCGTGTTTTTTTTCTACAGCCCTAATGACCATGAGATAAGAACAGAAATAACAGGACCAAATCGGGACGTATTGGCAAACCCAGTTAGCTTGATGGTCCAGATCTGAGATTCTTAACCGGGTTTCGGTTTTTACAAAGAATTGTCCGAAAAATTGCTTAGTACTGCGATTATTCCCAAAGAGCGCTCATCAGCACCGAAACCAGTAGCTTGGCCTATCTGAACTTTGAGCTTTTCAAAATTAGAAAGACCTCTTGTTACCTAAAACCAAATGGTACTAACCAAACCAAAGGGTACTAAAAGGAAAAAAGAAAAATTATCTCTTCAAAACGTAGAAAACTGCTGCACTACCCAGATGCGTTTACTGACGGGGGAAAAGTCTGATATTCCTGTCCTATGAGGCATGAACATTTAGTCTCTATTGCTGCACTCATCTATATTTGTGAACGCGGTTAGCCCCATTGTCGCTGAGTGTTCTCGATTAAGCGATTTCTGTTTCTGTTAGAAGCATTGCCTCAAATACAAAAAATAATCAGTTAAGCTCTTGCAAATTTTTAAGATGTTCCTTGAATTCTATTCGCTGCCCTCACTATGAACCAAAGTAATGTGAAAATGGTAGGAAAAGATAACCTATATAAGCTACTTTTCCTACTATGCTATCAGCTAATTTTCTTTTTTTTAAGCCTTCTTTAGATCCGAAACGTTGTCGCATCCTCTCTCCTTAAAAGATACGTAAATATCTTGCATCACGTGCACAGAGATCAACGAAATTGATGAGAGGCTTGAAAAATAAACCTAACGAATTCGACCTCCATATTATTTTCTGAGTTCCAGGAGAATCAGTTATGGTATGGAGGACAACATATTAAGCACGCCAAAAACCACAAAATGGCGACAATCCATTGGAAACTACCAAATAATTGGAACCGTACCAAAAAGACAAGAATTGAGAGCAAAGATAACGTGATAAATATATTGGATTGGATATTGGATGGATAACTTGAGCAAAATACGGATTTATTGAAACACATCGCAATGAAGGATTAAAAAGCCTTTAATTTAAAGATAATAGTTCTAAAATTTCAAGTATTTACTCCCATTCACCTTATATTGAATATTCTGCTGACTATATCTAGTCATTTGTTTTTCTATTTGAGTTGGCGGTGAACTGACTGAGGTCATAGGTCATGGTTTCAGAAGTTCCTAAGAAGGTATGTTCACTATTTTTCTACATGCAGACGCCAAATTACTGTTATAGTCTATATTCCACAGGATTGCTGATTCAATTACAGGGTTTGTGCCGTCATCAATCTTACAAGGGGTCAGTGTAAGTACCAAGTCTCATATAACCACATCTCAGGTTACTCCTGGGAAATCCGGTGACCTACATACCGATGTCAAGCCTAATCTCAAAAGAACAAACGATGTCCTTGACCATCTGAGTGAGTTGGGACCAAAGAATAATGTGTGGGGCTCCAAAGATCACTTTATGGGATATCCGAATGTTGACCTTGACGCTACAGATAAATCAGAAAGTGAATGCAGTCTACACTCCTTCTCTACAAGTGGAGTTTCGTCGTTAATGCCTAAGTCTTGGCTATTGGGGTACAGAAAAGACCAAAGCAAATCTCTGTCTAATCGCACGGGTTTTTGCTCAGAAAGTCATACTAATATTCGGAATGTGAGCAGTCCAGTAAAAACAGACTATCGTAAACAATCAACTTCATGTCAAAACTCCCTAAGCGATCTTATGTATTGTCATCACCCCGCCCCAAAGCGCCAGCGCTTGTCCACTGCATCAAACCGTAGTCCATATTCTTGTCAGCCTCGCTTTGGAACTACTTACGGGGGGGCTGCTAGTTGTCACAGTGCGCGAGAACTTTTCGGGGTAAGTTCCAAACATGCTATTCGTACGTTAGGCAAGGGGTAAAATTGACATGTAGATTTGTATCGTTTAAATGGTGGGTTATCTAAGACGATTGTTCGAATAACTCCGTTAGTAGGTTTACGTGCAATTCGATGAGCATTCAGGTGGCGAACGAGTGTTCCACAATGAGTGAAACCATATTGTTCGAGACAGAAAACCGTGCTGACTTACGAATAAATACATGTATACACATATGGTCAACTTAATATGTTAGCAATTCCTCAATATCTATTTTATCGAAGTTCGATTTTGTTAGTTAGTTAAGTAGCCTTTACATTACCTCACACTACTCCATTCGTCTGTTGATTAGTATCATACTTACTCTGGATGACTACGTACGTCAAATTTAAATAAAACCGTTTTGAATGAGCTGCATGATATTCAGGCTATTCACAGGAATCAGCTTTTTTGTTACTTTAATTACTCTGTTCCTTATTGCGTCTAAGGTATATGGTCGTCTTCATGCTACATTATGTACACTTATTTTTGTATTTCAGTTTACGACACCGTTAAAATTCGACCTACAATCAGATCGAAACCCCGAACTCAGAAATAGTCCAAATGCAAATTTGAGCTCTACTGCTCGAAGAATTCTAGAAACATTGGAAAATTTGTCAACTCCACTTACTTCAGGTTATCTACAGTCTACTGTACTAAGACATGTAAAACAGGTTGGTTTTTTCCTAATTTGTGGATCATTTTCACGGGTTTGTATACAGTGCTTTAGTTTAGTTAAGAAAGCTCATATTCCAACGTCTCATTAAGCCCGAAATATATCATACTGATTGGAAGTTTACATTATGTTAAGTCTCCCCCAGTCTTAGGCGTCATACTATTATTCAGACACTAACCGCACGGCCTCTTATCCTAATGATAGCGGTATTAAAGTTCTCAATCCAGTTCCCCAAGGCCTTTATGTTCGGTCGGTCCTCATAAAGTCACAGTTATGGAATTCTGGTAACAAAAAACAGCAGTCAGCGTAGATCATTACAGGTATATGGACGGCTAGTGATTTTTGTTACCACCTATCTCAAAATATCGTAGCCGTTTGGTTTTACATCATTCAAAGCCTCGCACTATGATATTCGATTACTCTAAACAATACTAACTAACGCTTCTTGCGATTATTTCTTTACTTAAGTTGCCTGAATGTATTAATGCCTGACCGCAAGATGAAGCCATAATTTTCAAATACTTCATTCATTAAGTCTTTTTTCGCACTTCCATAATTTCTTACTTAGTAAGTGTCATTTAAAAAGTATAGTTCCGGCTTAGGGTCGAACATCAATACATCCAGACGAATCAAATAAAAGGAGTCACTGACAGCTGGTCTGAGCCATGTTAGTAGATGTAGACTATCTGGTTGGGGCCCACAAAACGATAGCAACCGATGGTTAGAGGCTTTGAGTGACGTGGCTCAAAATCGTTTGCAATGGTGCAGGTGCATTCATTGTGTCCTCTCAAATCCTAATCTAAATCCCTCATCACCCTTATCTTTTTTTTAAGTTTGTTTCACTGTAGTATACTTGAACAATATTTTCGAACCCTAGTCTTTCCGATAGCTGCTTATGATTATACTACTATGGGATTTGAATTGACATTTTCCGATTTTATGCAATTTAAACTGACGTTCGTCCGTACTAAGTTCTACATTGTAGCTGACTGACCGACTAAAGTCTTTTGAATCATAGAGTTACTAAAGTTTAGGTTTATAAATAGGCTTTATTACATAACTTGTATCCAATCGGTCTTTCATCATAATCTTCTGCCTATTAAGGTTAAAAGTCGTGTTAAATCTCATCGGTTTGCACCGTTCTCAAAAAATTATGAAAAAGTTGATTCTCTTCGTAAAGATTCCAAGTTGTACTCATTTTGTGAAAACCAAGTTCAAAATACTGTGCAGCCTCAGATTTCGTCAAAGTCAGAAGTATGTATCGAGAGATCACAAAGTCAAAAATGCATCACTGTCGATTATTTAATAAACACAGTTGAACCCATTTCGGAGATGTGTAAAACAAAAGGAAACATGTTATTACCCGTATACACATTTGCAGATCCAATTCACAAGTATTCTCAAAGGGGTCGCAAACCTATTCTGTTCCCCACAGCTCACAAAGAATATTTTTTTAGCTGTCCTAGTCGTTCTTGTCTTAAATGTTCCGCAAAGTCAGTTGGCTTGAAATCCAGTATACAACAATTCAGTGATGAAAATATTTGTCCCGCTAAGCCGAAAAGTAAGTGTATCTTAGTGCTATTAAATATAAGTTTCTTTGTTCGTTTTGCGATATGGTGTCATAAATCCTTTAATCGAACATATTAGTAATTTATTTAAACAGTTATCGGCATAGAGACCTAAATATTTTTGCGCTATGCAAATCAGCAAACTTGTGTGTGGGCTGGAATACTACTCATGTCCAGACCGAAGCAGGTTACTTTCTTTGGTCTAGCTGTCTAATTCACGATGTGCAGGGGCTATTTTAGGCTATGCAGTCCCATGGTAGCCGGTTACGGTCGTACGCCATTTGCTTCATCAGGATTCTAGAGCTCACAGGCATCATTGGTTTGGGATCAGTCTTCCTAATCCTCTAGGTAAGTCTATCGTACCCGCCATCGAGGACCTTCCTTAACGACCATTCAAACTGCATAATCTGCCATTTGAAAACTTAACAGGTTAAATATATACTGCGTTGACCATTTTGAGTCGTCAAATAGTTATCCACATCTAAAATCAATTCTGATTTTGCTGTTTTTTGTGCAGTTTTGTCTGTTGATCAGTTCTGTTTCATTTTGACGACAATAATAATTAAATAAATTTACACATCAGTGATAACTTCAGCTGGTTATAGATCACTTGAATTCCGGATATATTCTATCGCGTTTCTATATTTCGTGTATGCTTCAGCTAACAACTTGTACTGTAAGTCGTAAACAGCGCAGTCAAAGTGGTTTGACACTGCCATTAAACGTGACGGGAGTGTAAGATGACAAACAGGAGTGTAGTTCCTGCAAAAATGGATTTGAATAACATTTTTAAAAAGTAGTATATTCTTGCATTGATATGTGATAATACACCCCTCACTCAACATAGCTCCTAACTTTACAACCCTGCCGATCAGAATGTAATCAATCTATATTAATAAGTACAAATTTTCTTTTTGTCCCTACCATGTCAGATAGCTCGGTTGTAAATTGTATAAGTAAAAACAACAACTCAAGATCCAAGGGCAAAATACTGCAAACTGTTGGAAGACATCAGCATTCAGGTGTTTTCTGAGAGCGAAAAAGGGGTTAGAAATGGTTGACCCTCAAAAATGAAGAATCTCGCATCATCAATGAGTGTGGCGTCTCCATAAAGTGCATATGGAATCCGAGTACAGAGATTCATTTTGTTTCACTTCGTCTATATGCAGAACAGGCGCTTCACCGTTTGTGCAACTTTTCATGACCTATTTGGTATATGTTCAGCATTACGTTCAGAAGCAGGACAAGGTAGTAAAAGGATAGGTTGCTACTTGTCGATCATAGATGTCTTCGAAGCATTAGTCTTCAATCTAAGTGGTCGAGACGTGTTCCGTTTGCCCAACCATTACCTACCTACCTTGACAGACTATGTCTTGTTTAAGTTCGGAACGTTAGTGACATCCGACTTGACGATGCGATGCAGACCCCAGCAAGCCTCGCCTCTGGTGCGCTCCTACAAGGCGCAAGTTCAACGAATGAATTCGTTATACATCTAGCCATGTATATGGGTTTCGAAATTTGTTTTCCGATTTACTTCAATGTACAAGCGTTAATTAAACCTAGTTTAAATACCACATAAAGATTTGTAGCTCAAGTTGATGATTTTGGTGGTTCCGTCCTCACTTAAATGCTTTAATTCTAAACGGGTAGTTTGAAGGCTAACACTAACCAATAAACATGAAAGTCGACAGGACAACCGCAGTCACATGAAGACGAATCCGAATATATTACTTCTACCTGAGGTTCATGCTGACAAATTTGTACAGAACAACACTGAAAGCTCCACGAGAAAACTCTCCAGCTCGGAGAACGTCATTGATAACAGAGATACTAAAAACGACGATAATCAGAAATAAATAACTCAGTCACTTCGGTTGACTACAATCTCCAATCAGCCTGAATGGCAAATCGATTAAAGTCCTCCGACCCATAATGCAGTTGAGAAAGCTATAAAAAATCTGAAACGAGGGAGAGCAGTGGGTACTGATAGTCTAAGTCCTGAGGTTTTTAATGATAGTGGTCCAATTTTAGCAGTTAGATTGACTGAGATCTCTACTCGAACACTACAGGTCGAGGTAGAGCTTATGGCAAACTGTCATCGGAAATGGTTAATTCAAGTGGTGTCCGTCAGGGTTGTCCACCTCAATTACTGTTTAACTCTGTCATAGAAATGCCTTTATAGTTAACATTATCTTCGTCTGATCTTTCAGTAGTGGACCTTCTACCGGGAGACACACTTGTTGAGTATGCAGATGACATAGTCCTGTTCGGTGTAGACGCTGACAAAATGCAGAGTATTCTGACCATCCTAAGCAGCAATGAAAAGATGTTCGGGATGAGATTCTCTCTGTCAATATGCGAAATATCTTATCATCATTTGCTTACGTCGGCAGCTGAAATTATGATAGATAATGAAGCAGTTGAGCGTTTTGACCGCTTCACTTATCTCGATTGTCTCGTCAGTGCTGATGACCTGGTGTGTAATAATATCTCAGCGCAGATAGGGAAGGCTGGATTGGCACTTGCCAACTTGCGTCACTTGCTTAGGCAACTGTCAATAAATACCCCCTATATTTTTTAAACGATGGTTTCGGCAGTTCTCCAAGTTTCCACTCCATACAATAAAACCGATGTGATATTTGCATTAAAAATTGCTACTTTAGTGTTAGTTGACACTTGTTTTGGTTCCTATATGTTCTTCAGTTGTAGGAATGTCGCTCTCCCTTGACCGATTTCTGTTTTCACACCTGCGTCAGATCCTTGTTTATCAATGGTGCTGCACAGATACATGACGGTTTCCACATCTGCCAAAGCTTCTCCTTCGAGTGTTATTTGGTTGGTTCATGTTGTGTTGAATCTAATGGTCTTGCTTTTTTCGTTGTCTATGTTGAGACCTACTGCTGGGGAGGTTGCTGCTATACTGACTGCCTTCTACATTTGTCCTTGTGTATGGGATAGAAGCGCTACGTCATCTGCAAAGTTCAGATCGTTCAGTTGATCCAAGCTGTCTACTGTTTCTATGCTTCCCCCGAGATGTTGACGTTTTCATAATCGAGTTAACCACCATAAAGTATAGGAAGGACGGGAGTAAGCAACCTTGTCTAAGACGGGTTTTCACTTGGAATGAGTCTATGTGCAGCCCTCCATGCACGGTTTTTTTGGTGTAATCCATCGTAAGAGTTCCGTATAATGTTGGCTTTTTTCTCAGGTACATCGTATTGTTTAAGAAACGTCCATTGTTATTCTCTCCATGCTGTTGAATTCGTTTTCGTAGTCGAGGAACTTAATGTAGAA